CCCCTAAATCTTTTCTATATGCCTGTTAGAATCTATTTATATATTTAGATTATCCCGAAACCGCTGTGCTTTCCTGTACCTTTGCTTTAAAATATATAATATTTAACAAAAAACCTCGTTTTAACAAAGAGGAAATCTAAATGTTTTGCGGGTTTACAGATCCATTTAAGGATAAATATAAAAACGGGAAAAGTAATTATAAATTCAAATCATTATAAATCAATGTCAGCTACAAGATTTTCAAAATATATTCATTTTGTCCATTCTCACCATGAAACAAAAGACAACTGCATTTAAAGAGGAGTATTGTGGCAAACCCCCTCCCCTTATATCCCCATAGTCAACATAACAATAGCAGAAAATTGTGCGTAAAAATTTTTATTAAAACGAAATAATAGATTCTTGCTCGCTTAAATTCTATAATTTTCATGTTAAATGAATAGTTTTAATTATCGTAAAATTGTTAATTAAACCTTTTTGAAAGAAATAACACAGCAATTAATTTAATCCAATTAATTGGAAGATTCATTTGGAATTTTAGGGGTTCCACCCTGGGTCACAAATCTTTCTATACTTTCTACATTTCTATACCTGTCTTTCTATACTTTCTACATTTCTATACCTGTCTTTCTATACTTTCTACATTTCCATACCTGTCTTTCTATACTTTCTACATTTCTATACCTGTCTTTCTATACTTTCTACATTTCTATACCTGTCTTTCTATACTTTCTACATTTCTATACCTGTCTTTCTATACATATCTACCTATCTTTCTACATATCTACCTATCTTTCTATTCGTACCTACCTATCGTTCTACATATCTACCTTTCTTTCTACGTATCTACTTATCTTCCTACATATGGACCTGTTTTTCTACATATCTACCTGTCGTTGTAGATATCTAACTGTATTTCTATATATCCACCTGTATTACTATATCTACCTGTCGTTATAGATATCTGCCTATCTTTCTAGATATCTACCTGTCTATCTAGATATCTGCCTATCTTTCTAGATATCTACCTGTCTATCCAGATATCTTCCTATCTTTCTAGATATCTACCTATATTTCTAGATATCTACCTGTATTTCTAGATGTCTTCCTATCTTTCTAGATATCTACCTGTCTTTCTATATATATCTACCTGTCTTTTTAGATATCTGCTTATCTTTCTAGATATCTACCTTGCTTTATACATCTTCATGTCTAATAGTCCATCTATATCAATCTTTTTAAAGTAGTAATTCTGTTCCAGTGTCCCGTTTGTTTGTTGTTTGTTTGAATGTCCTATCATAACTCACGACCGATTTGCCTCAAATTTTTATTCTGTTGAACCACGAAAATATCTTTTTGTCGGTCTTTTTGTTTGTATGTCGCGGTAGATTCACGAAAATATTCTTTGCTTGGTTTAAAAATTCTTAGGTTAGATGGTTTACTTTTATAGGGATAACTTAGCTCCCAGGCAATGCTGGGAACTTAAACTAACATCTACATATATTGAGGAGAAATATCCGTTGTATGTCAGTTTGTTTGTTTGAGTGTCCGATCATAACTCATGAACCTCCTTGACCGGTTGCATCTAATTTAAATTGGGTAACTCGGCAGAAACATGGAAAGTTTTTAACTGGTTTAATAGTTCTAAGTTAAGTACATTGACTTTTATGATGAAAAAATAGTTTCTAGGCAAAGCTGGTTTCCCAAGCTAGTGTATATATATATCTCTATCTAATTATCTGTTTATCTATGTATGTTTCTGGGTGCTAACAATCACAATGAAATCTAAGAATCCAGCATGTCAAACAAAGCGGGGGGGGGGGNTCTTAATAAGCTAAAATTCGATATATAAGCAAAATTTGTTTAAATATTCCCTAATCTAATTTAAACATCAAAGCAGTTTGCGGTATCTGCAAATATGAAATTATGAAAAGTAAAGGTTAGGAAAACGTATTTTGGTTGAGGTTTTGTGATTGTATCTGAGGACGAGGTTGCGTGATTTTTTTTCTCAACTATAATCAAGTTTGATTTAATACAAATATGTTTACAGGTTTTAATTTCATGAATACAAATATGTTCAGGTGTTGTTAAGGAGTTTGTATTCTAGGAATACAATCACGTGTACGGGTTGTTAAGAAAAATACAAATATGTTTGTATCCTAGTGATAGGAATATTTATAATTCGGTGATGGTGATGGACCAAACCTCTGTAGAGTAAAAAAGTAGATGTTAGTTCCACATTTATTGAAAATATATTTCGGTCTGGGTTGACCCATATATATAATACACTTTTCATTTGTGGTTTCTATATGTCTCTATATTGTATAATTTTTACAATAATTTGTATAAGAAGGGTAAACCAATGTTATCGAAAATATCAAATCCTTTTTGAAAACCTTAGAACTGGTGCAAGGTGGATTTCAGCTTTTTCATCAAAAAAGTGTCCCATAGTTTTACCCTGATTTCTAGTAAAGATGTTAAATATTTTGCTTTACTCACAACAAATTTTTCGTTCTTTATTAGAGAACAGTAAGTATACAATACAACCAAATGTTTATGTATTTATCAGAATATTTTTGAAATTTAATTAAAAATTACAATCTTTTTACGATCGAAAAGCCTGGGTTTGCATGAGGTTTTACAATTAACTGTGGCCAGAATTGGTTCAGACGTCACGCATTTTATTACAAACCAACAGAAATTGATACGTTTCTTATTTGTGAAAACGATCGAATCGTCCTGGTAGGAGCAAGAACCTTTCATTTCCTGCTGACAATCCGGCCTATAACGCGACACTTCCAAGCATTTTCGTTTTCGTTATATCTTTATAGTTTGCGGAGTTAAAATTACATAAAAATCTGAATTCAGCAAGTTTTAGAAGATTTTCATATTCAAACCTGTGCAGTTTTAGTTTATTTTCAAGTAATAACAATTTAACTTTTATGCAACATTCACTTAAAAACCCATTTTTAAAAACCAAAATGTATGAATACAAAAGTGTTTTTTTAGGAGTTTGAATTTAGAAATACAAATATATTTTAAACATGAGATTGCGTAATACGTATGGTCAAACAAACTTCATAAATACAACTTATAACTGATATTACTGCATACTAAAGGAATTGATATTTTTTTAACGTGTTTTGAGGGAGAATATTTCGATCCTCTAAAAATAATAATAAGACTTTGTTTAAAAATCATTTATTTTGATATTCGTAATATATTGGATTTTTGGATTATATATATTAGATCTAACATGATTATAATATTATTTCCAGTACATTTGTACACTGGTACAGCTGGGAATCACTAGAGTCAGTGTACCGTACATAATTTATCCATATTAAGATATAATATACACTGATATACATACTGCCAACTCACGAAGCTACACTGTTAGAAATGCCATTTTGTAAATTTTCAATATCATCATATTTCAGGCCAATATAACCAGTATATAGAAGACATTCATTGATATATAAACAATCCAGGTTTAGAACAAATACAAGGAGAGTTTAGATCCCTTCCAACAATCCAGGTTTAGAACTAATACAAGGAGAGTTTAGATCCTTTCCAACAATCCAGGTTTAGAACAAATACAAGGAGAGTTTAGTTCCCTTCCAACAATCCAGGTTTAGAATAAATACAAGGAGAGTTTAGATCCCTTCCAACAATTCAGGTTTAGAAGAAATAAAAGGAGAGTTTAGATCCCTTCTAACAATCCAGGTTTAGAACAAATATAAGGAGAGTTTAGATCCCTTCCAACAATCCAGGTTTAGAACAAATACAAGGAGAGTTTAGATCCCTTCCAACAATCCAGGTTTAGAACAAATACAAGGAGAGTTTAGTTCCCTTCCAACAATCCAGGTTTAGAACACATATAAGGAGAATTGAGTTCCCTTCCAACAATCCAGGTTTAGAACAAATACAAAGAGAGTTTAGATCCTTTCCAACAATCCAGGTTTGGAACAAATACTAGGAGAGTCTAGTTCCTTTCCAACAATCCAGGTTTAGAACAAATACTAGGAGAGTTGAGTTCCCTTCCAAAAATCCAGGTTTAGAACAAATATAAGGAGATTTTATATCCCGTCTAAAAATCCAGGTTCAAAATAAATACTGTAAGTGAATGAGTAGTTTCGGGATTTGTTTACAAACTCTCTAAAGTAAGTGTAATTGTATTTTAAAATCTAGATGAATGCAAGAAGCGTGGATTAGAATTAATCTTTAAATTCACTTTCAAATTCTCTAATCAGCTATTTAGATTTGAGTCTTAATTTATGGAACCACGCAAAAATAAAAGCGGTATTTTGGAAGACGACATACATGATCTTCCTAATAGTGTATGCTACCAGCTAAGTGATTACAATTTATCATGCACATCCTCAGAATCTTTAATAAATAAAGAAAGACTTAGAGTTAGAGAGATATGTTTATGTCTCAAAAATAATGGAATTGAAATATGACCGAATCATTTTTGCTTTTTACTTGATCTTCAATCCATATAGCCTTTAATTTTTAAATTATATAAGAAGTAATTGTTAAAACAAGCTCTTTTAAATTGAAGAAATAAAAATAAATACTTTCTATTAGAAATGAAAATGAAAATAAAAACTAAATCTTGTTTTAGTCTTATGTCGATGTATGATTATAGTTTGTAATAAAAACTTCACTTGAAAGAGTCATTTGTATCAAACATTTTAGGTCCTGACTGCAATAAAAACTTGTACAAATTCTTAAGACTGGGTCAAGTTTAAAGAGGTAAAATTCTATGGCTTTGATTTATCTTAATGTCTCTTTTTTTGTAGCCCTAACCATGTTTATTTTAGAACTACAGCGCTTGATTTTAGTTTCGGTTTCAAGAAGTAATTGGCAAAATTCTTATCGATATTTGTGGATAAATGTGATCCTGCATGCTAAATCTGTTCAAAAACTTATTTTTTTTAATATTTACTATTTATTAAACTAAATAAATAAATTATACATAAATAAAGTTATTTTTTAAATGGTATAAAAGATTTTTAACATTTGATGGTTTAGAGTATTATCCATAAATTGTTCATTTTAAATTTTTCAATGGATTATTATTATTTTTTTTGGATTATCTAAAGAAGAAAATCGTAGATATTTTTTTTTAAAGACAGGTGGAAGTTCTTGTAAATTTGTTCGATATTTTTCAGCTTTTTTTTTGTTTTTGTTTAATTATGAATCTGAAGTTCTTTAATTAATAAAAGAGAAGATAATCTGATGATTTGGTTCCAGCTTCTATTTAAAGGGCATCTTCTTCCTTCCGCTGAAATGATCTTCTATCTCTGCCAGGTTTCTTCCTTTAGTCTCGGGTAGGAAGAAGAATACAAAGAAGAATCCTGCCAGGTTGATGGCAGTGTACAACCTGAAAACACGTTGATTGGTTCCATAGCGGCCATTTTATTTCAGTCGGGTCGTCTTTGTTCTAATTAACTAATAATCTTATTGCTTATTCCGCAATTTTGTGCTAAATGTCTATCAATTGTCTCAATGATATTGAATTCTAAAAATTATTTGTCCTATTTTCTCATTGATTAATAATAAAGTATTTTTTGAAGTGGATTGTTACCAGAATACTCCATGGAATGTCATTGCTCTCGTCATATCTGTGAAGAATCTGAGAAGGAAGAAGAGAGTTGTCAGGTTGGTCACAGAGGAGATGGAACCAAGGATATTTCGGTATCTACAGGTAAAAATTAATGCATGAAATTCAAACTGGAAATTACAGAAATTTCTGTTTTGCTGTAAATTAAGAAACGGTTTCTTTATGGAACTGCAGTAGACGTAAGTTTCCCTTCTTCTATTCGGTGGCATGACTGCTTCACAGCGGTAACCAAGATATATCCTTGTCGTTGCAGCTAGACATTCTTTATTTATAATTTGATTTTCTTTGTAGATTTTTGAAGGAGAAGCAATGAAGTGAATTTGTACAATGTAACCCTTTTTAAAATAGAAAAAAGACGATATCTCACTCATTCTTACTAATTTGAATTGTGGATTCTCTACACAAGTGACATCACATTTCTCTTGCAGAAACAAGGATAAAATATAATCCGAATTAACCAGTTTTTAAGCTAAAAAATCGACAATATCTTCCATGATAAAGGTTTATAGAGATCCATTGTGAACTTGAACTTATTAACCTGGCTGGGAATAGTTCTCCTAGGATCAGAAACGGAATTGGTCCAAATCCAACCGAGTAACCTGAAAATAATTAGCCTTTTTTCCAAAATATCTTTTTAAATTTAGAAATTAAGTTGTTGTTTACCAATAAAGGCAATGATAATGCAGACAAGAGGTAACCAGCCAATGTGTTCTGGCATCAGTATTTCGTCTCCTAAATAAATTGAATTCAATACAGTGTGACCCAGAAAATTATGCAATTGGACAAACAATTTTGGACTCAAGAAATACAGTAATTATGCACTGTCCACTGACCCATTTCAATAAATAAGTTGATTTCCTAGCTCCTGGTAAAACGATATGTAGATATAGATAAGATTACTTAATTGCCGTCTTCCTTTTCCGCAGTTTAATTAATGAGTCTATTTTCCCCATTTTCTTTATAACACAATATCAATTATATTCATTATTTCTGTTAAATATTAATAAACTTAAAATTAATTAATTAATTAATTAATTAATTAATTAATAATTAATTAATAACACGACTTTTAGACTTAAACCGATCAGATTGTTGGAATTTTTAATATAGATGTTTAACAATCCTGCAGCAATAGATAATTTCCATAAAAATATGAATTTTAGAGCTTTTCGATATAAATTTTGAAACAACAAAAAAAACTTTAGATTTTGCATATTCACGTTTGATTTTGTTTCTGACAAACAAAAATTTGAAAAAATTATCTTATTTTTACCTTTAAGATAGAAGCAAAGTCCCAGAACTCCAATGGATGCTGTCATAACCAAGCTTGGTAAACAAATTATTTTCATTTAAAAACGTAATTTTTAAGATGGTCACACTATCTTTAATTCTATTTTCAATTCTTTCTTAAATTTTATTTTTTATCCTATTTTTAATTTTATTTATAATTATATTTTTACTCCTTTCCTTAATTTTATTTATGATTTTATTCTTCAAATCTTTCATCAATTGTATCTTTAATTCTATCTTAAATTTTATCTTCAATCTTTAGTATCATAAAAAAATATAGTTACCTAAAATCACTAAATTGGTGACTGTATTCAAAAGAAAATATATTGAATTTTCACTCTATTATTGCACAACACTTTCTTAGTTGAGCTATTTAGAACATCTTTTGTAAATTTGTAATACCACACTGTAATCATAAAAATATATCTAAATCTACATAAAATTTATCATTGAAATCTTGCATGTTTTTTTTGATGAACTATTATTACGGGAAAATTTAAAATTATTTAAATGTAACAAATTTTTACTTTCTCCCTCTAGACAGGAGGAATTACTAGGTCACTAGCCGTTCAGTAATTCCCTATATATTTAACCTTGTTCCACACTTCTAAATTGCATGGAGTGCAGCCTCTTTTTTTCTTTTAAATGTTACCTTGAAATCATGAGCAAGACACGTCTTCCTGCTTTGTCTGCTAGAACAACCGATCCTATAAAATAGAAAACCTTCTTAGGGCCATAATATAACAAAATAACAAGCCACCATTGCAAACCTTCTGAGGGCCATAATATGAAAAAATAACAAGCCACCATTGCAAACCTTCTTGTTAAAAAATCTCAAATAAACCTTGAGGACTACTATCTACCAATGGATGTACCCGGGAAAAAACTCGAGCAATACATCTTTACTGTTCGGAAGATGAGAAAAAAACTAAACTTTTGATTATAGGTAGAATAGGATTTAAAATTTTTCAATACATATTTAAATTCGGTCCAATTTTAGTGTATTTTTCTTCATTTTTGTGTATTTTTCTTTATTTTTAATGTTTTTCGTTTCGGCCTAGTCTTATTTTAAACACCAGTTAATTAGGCAATTGGTATATCTGTTTTTAAAATATGAATAATATATTATTTAAATGAGTCATTTTGTGAACTGCTTGTCTGTGGCTGTTGGAGCGGGGCATCCTGGACCGGGGTTTTTCCTGAGTGATATTATTATTTTAATGCAAGTTTTATTCGTGGGTCCAGTGCTCAAGGGAGCACTGGACCCACGAAACATTTGCTCTGAGATTTACACTCCGGGCAAATGGTACTAGTGGAGCCAGTGCTCCCTTTGTTTAGGGGTATTTTAATGAAATTATTTTAAAAATTTCTTGAATTGAATGGACTCAAAATCTAAAACAATTTATTCACTCTAGATATTTGGGTGTGTTGCTCTGACGGTGGCGGCCCTGCAGGATGCAAACATATTATTTAAAAAGCTCATTTTGGATTTTTTTGGTTCTATAATTTTTATAATTTAGTTTTCAATTTATTTTTATGTCCACATTGTTAATAGTGTTTTAAATCTTAAATAATCCTATTCCCTTACTAATACTGCCTCAACCTAGGATGATCATTTTAGGTACTTTTGAAATAGAGTGTTAGTGACTATCCTAAAGTTTCTCTGCCAGAGTCTTTTGATCCTAAACTTACTAGTTTCTTAATTCAAAATAGAGCTAGGATGTATATGTATAGTATTCACCCGTCTACAAGCCGATGATGAATTTTAATTCTAAGGCTGACTACGAATGTAGATTTATAATCAATTTATAACAAAATAACAACCCACCATTGCAAACCTTCTTAGGGCCATAATATAACAAAATAACATGCCGCCATTGCAAACCTTCTTAGGTCCATAATATAAGAAAATAACAAGCCACCATTGCAAACCTTCTTAGGGCCATAATATAACAAAATAACAACCCACCATTGCAAACCTTCTTAGGGCCATAATATAACAAAATAACATGCCGCCATTGCAAACCTTCTTAGGGCCATAATATAAGAAAATAACAAGCCACCATTGCAAACCTTCTTAGGACCATAATATACCAAAATAACAACCCATCATTGCAAACCTTCTTAAGGCCATAATATAACAAAATAACAAGCCACCATTGCAAAAAATAACGAACTAGATGAAATGCCCGGTGTTGCCTGTGGATACTTTTTTAACTTTAAATTTCAGATGAATGATTCCTTTGAAAAATTGTAAATGATGTTTACGAAATTGTTTAAATTATAAGAAGAAAAAACATTACAGGGCAGTGTGAAATTTGTAGGATAAACTCAACTAAACAAAATATGAATAAAACAACTAGGGCTTGAATATCAACATCTAACATTGGGTCTAAATGAACTTCTAAATGAAAGATATATACATAACATTACACATTTATAAGCTGTACAGTAGTTTACCTGCTGTAGCAATAAGTTGTACAATTCCAACAACAGCTGTTGCTACATAATCATCAATAGAGCTTCCAACAGCAGTGAATATCTCTACAGTCTAAAATCAATCTAGATTATTCAGTAGAATAAAATTATTCGTTCATTATAAAACGAACATTTTTTACTCTGCTAAAGGGAGTGACCGGCAATGTATGTTGGTCGAATTGAATATGTAGTATTGAGGAAACATTTTTTAGTATTCATTTGAGAGTTATAAAACGTTTCTACGACGTATATTTACTGAGTTTGAGCGCAAACTCGACGTTCAAAATCATAAATTTAGGTGGGTACGTTTTCAGAATAATTTTTTTTAATCATTAAATAATGACGACAAAAATATAAATAAAAATTCTACAGTAACCTAATTAGTTGTTTAGGAACAGGATGAGAAAATAAAAATTAACTCTTATCATCAAAAGTAAGTAATCTTATTTAATTATTAGTTTCTATAATCTTTCATTTTTCACAAAGATTTTCTACAGATTTTCTGAAATTTTTATTGAAAAGACGACATTTAAAGAAATTTGCGAACAAATTCATAGAAGATAAGAAAAAATTGATTCTAACATTGATTCATTGGCAAATTTCTTTTGAGATATATGCGTCTAAACATCTAATAAGTTTTACTAAATATTTGTCATTGTTATTTAATAATTAAAAAAAACAGATTCTGAAATTCATGATTTTGAATGTCGACTTTGCACTTAAACTCAGTAATTATACGTCGAGGAAACGTTTTATATCCTTCAAATGAATCCTAACATTTTTGTTTACAATACTGCATGTTCAGTTCAACCACCATACATTGCCGTGCACTCCCTTTAAAGGGCCTCTAGACGCAATTGCCGTTCCAGTGACCAGCGGTATTCTTTAAACCAATGTCTGAGCAATGATGCCAAATATATCGTTATTTTGGCAGCTGACGAATGAGAACCGAGAGACTCGAGGTTACTCACGCGGTTTCCTTGTATCTACTAAAGGAATTGTGTCTTTGCCACAAACTAAAATGTTCTAATCCCTATATCTTTGCAACCTGATGTAGTAAACCTTTGATATTTCAAAATTAAATTATTTGATCTGACAGAATTTGTAGTTTGAAATAGATAAGATCTACGACTTTTAAATTCTTAAGATATAGGGACAAGAAAGTCATAGTTTGTGGCAAAGACTAAATTCCTTTACTGTTATAAAAATCAACGCAATCCTTGATCTGACAAAGGTCTAAAACACACGACGGTCATTTGAAATTACGTCTACAGTCCCTTTCAGAATCAGTGGCGTACGAGGGGGGGGGACGCCCCCCCCCCGCCCCTCTACGCGTTCCCCCCCGAGAGGCTGAGGGGGGCACCCATGGGGGAGGCTCTTTTAATATTACATCTGCTTGCATTTCCCTTCCTCAGGCCAGGCAAAGTGGCGTACCTAGGGGGGGCAGTAGTCCTCTTGCCCCCCCTGGGAGTTCCAGGCGGGGCCCTGCCCCCCTGGAAAATACAAAATTAAAAGGAAACTACGTTTAGAAAGTAACACCTGACAATGACAAAGACTAAGGATTTGTCTAAATTCACTGTTAATACAAGGAGAGAAAAGTTTTAGCCTTCTAAAGAGAATACTTCATTACACAAGATGTACTATGACGGAGAGCAGACTTAACGATCTTGCACTTATAGCTTTACACCCTATAAGGCTGTCTGAGCTCTCTACTGAAAAAAAAATCATTGAAATGTTTGTGCAAGCAAATCCCAGAAAATTGTAGCTTAAAAGAGTTGGGGAATATATAGATATTGAGTAAATTCTATCTAAAAAATTTCAGAAGAAATTTCGTTTATTAGTAAAAATTTAATTTTTAATGATGCTGTGATTATTGATTTAGTTAGCTATGATGGAGTTAAGTGATAAATTTTTATAAAGTCATAAAGTTATAAAGATGGGGGCCAAACAAATTTAAAAAATGTATCAATATTTTTCAAAAAAGGGGTTATTAAGGGGGGGGCACAATGTTGCCGAAGGGGTGGACCCAAAACTTTCTTTTGCCCCCCCCCCCTAAAAAAAAGCCCTCGTACGCCCCTGTTCAGAATAGATAATTGTATTACTTTCTCGCTTCCTCATGCAAACATCTATTAATGTGAATCCTACCTTAAACACCAAAACATTCATTCCAGACCAACTCTGCAGGAACATTAGAACCATGGAGAGAATTAGAGGATGTAGGACACCTCTACTCATAAACCTAGAATATATACATATATTATGTAATATTAGAACCATGGAGAGAATTAGAGGATGTAGAACATCTCTACTCATAAACCTAGAATATATATATATCATCTAATTTTAGAACCATGGAGAGAATTAGAGGATGTAGATAGATATTACTCCTATACCTGGGAGGTTGGGGTTCTAGATTGAACCAGAGTGAAGCTTTCTCCGCCAACTCCGTCTTACCGTTCCTCTTCAACCAAACAGGAGTCTCAGGGAGGAAAAACATCCCTGAAGAGCAGAAAATTCAGGATAATTATTGAAATAATATTGTCACAAAGTCTTATTTTAAAAAAACTATTTTTGGATTTAAAAGAGAGAGGCCGGGTAATTGAATTTTTGTCGAACAACAAATAATCATTCCACAAGAAAGGAAAACAAAATTGGACCAATCCACTTCTCAAATATTTTTCTTTTAAACATTCAAAATTTGTTTGCTCTATATCCTTTATTACATATCTTTGCAACCAGATGGTGAAAACCTTAAATATTTTAAACTTCGACTTTTTATCAACTAACAAGTTTTGAAATTAAATACATCAACATCAGGTTGCAAAATTATGAAGACTAGAAAATTTGAGTATTTGGCGAGAATTTTGTTACTTTTTATGCCTTAAAGGAAAATAAATGCTAAATCAGCAAAAAAGCTGACCAAGGATAAGAATGGCTGGGGGAGCAAGACTGATGAGAGCAAGATGATGCCAAGGAGTAGCAGCTCCTACAGCATATCCAAGTAGGACTCCTAGAATATCACAATATTACAATTATGAACATTTTCTCCTTTATATACACTGTGAAACAAAAACAAAAAAAAGTTTGCGGTTTTTAAAAAGAAATCGTGGATTTTCACATTTAATGAATTTTTGAAATTTTTATTATTCATAAACCTTCCTTGTTCATGTGAGGTCCCACCCAAAATTTGGGCCTGATTGGTTTAGCCATTTCGACGTGTATTGGACACAAACAGGCAAGCAAAGTATATATTTAGATGTAAACCTACCTAGAGCTAACAGGAGAGAAGGAATACATCCCATTCTTCCACGAAGTGAAGGATGAGTGATCTCAGATATATAGATAACAGTCGACGGCATTGTTATTCCTAAATTTTAAAAACTATTTTGGAAATTACTTTTTAAAATTTTACGAAATTTCCCCTTTTTCTGAACTTTTTGTCATACAACATCCTCCTGCAAATTCACATTGATTAAAGATATTTCTAAAAAATTACATTTACATTCATTTAACCTTTAAAATTAAGAAAATAATTCAGCTTTAGTCTTAAAACTACAATGGCTTGGGAACCTGCTCAGGTTACTCATAGTTACTCCCGCCGTTTACCCGCACTTAAAAGATTTTACAGCGAAACTAAATTTTTGCTATTAAAGTCGACCCACTCATATTAGAATCTTAAAACCAAGCTTTGAACATTCCCGTGGATCTCCCGAGTAACTCAACCATAATTTGAGGCAAATCGGTCCAGGGATTCCTGAGTTTTGATCGGACAAACAAACAAACAAACATCCAAACAGAGATTAAAACTTAAAAACCCTAAAAATATGAAATATTGGTTTAACCCTATAATTATGATATAGGTTTAACCCTAAAACTATGATATATTGGATTAACCCTAAAACCAGATATATTGGTTTAACCCTAAAACTATGATATATGGTTTAACCCTAAAACTATGACATATTGGTGTAACCCTAAAGCTATGACATATTGGTTTAACCCTAAAACTATGATTGGATTAACCCTAAATGTCCCCTCTATTCCTACCTACTCCAATGCCCCCTAGAATTCGTCCAATGAGAATCATCGGTATATTTCCATTCAGCTGAGCCAGTCCAATCAGCAAGTTTGCAGCAATATACAATACACCTAAACATAATTTCAAAATAATAATTTGCGATTCATCTAGGATATTTTTTATGAGCTGAAAATAAACACTTCTGAAAAGTGAAAGTGAAAGTAAATTTTATGTAAGGATATTATATATAGGACAACAAACATAAGAATTATATCAAATAATTCTAGTAAAAATAATAATGATAATAATAAACATTTTTCATTTTCATCATTATTAACATACGAATTATGTTAATATATAAAGGCCTAAAACTAAGACAGGACTGATCTGATTGCAGAGGCTTTGATAAAAAATCTGTAGAAAATATTTTGTGATAAGAACACCTTTGGGGATAGGAAAACGTTTAAACGTTCGGAGCCGGAAAAATGTTTAATGGGGGGGGGGGGGTAACCGTTTAGTTTAGTTTAGTAGAGCAACGTTTGGAGGAAATCATCCGGTAAACGTTCAGAGGAAATTATCGAGTAAACCTTCATAGTTGGTGAACGTTTAGTTAAAAAATTAAAGGGTAAACTTATAGTGGAAATTATAGGGTAAACTTTTTTGTGGAAATTATAGGGTAAACTTTCTTGTGGAAATTATAGGGTAAACTTTTAGAGGAAATTGGGGATAAACTTTTTTTTGGAAATTATAGGGTAAACTTTTAGTGGAAATTGGGGATAAACTTTTTTTTGGAAATCATAGGGTAAACCTCCAGTGGAAATTATAGGGTAAAATTTTATTGGAAGTTATAGGGTAAACTTTTAGTGGAAATTGGGGGTAAACTTTTATTGGGTAAAGTATATACCTGCTAGAAGCAGTGTAATACGCCTGCCTAGGTAGTTTAAAGGAAAGGAAGATAACAAACTTCCACAGATGGCTCCCAGAGGTAGAGTTGATACTGGAATATATTACTTTAGAATTATTATATATGTTAAAAATTACCCAATACCCAGTACCCTGTACCCAGTACCCTGTACCCAGTACCCTGTACCCTGTACCCTGTACCCAGTACCCTGTACCCTGTNGTACCCTGTACCCTGTACCCTGTACCCTGTACCCTGTACCCTGTACCCTGTACCCTGTACCCTGTACCCTGTACCCAGTACCCTGTACCCTGTACCCTGCACCCTGTACCCTGGACCCTGAACCTTAGACCCTGGACCCTGAACCTTAGACCCTGGACCTACCTATCCAGGAAATAATTTCAGGTTCCTGTGGTGAAGACTCTAGAGCCCAAATATTCGCTTCCCCTCTCAACTCTGAAATTGATTTATCCATAAATATTTTTAGAGAAATTAAAATCAAAAACTTTGTTATCGAATTTTTTTCCAATTTAAAGTTTAGAGAAATCTACCTTTTTTGTTGAGAGAAGGAACAGAAGTTGCTGCCCAAGCCCTGTAAAGTAAACATTTCAAATAATTCAAGCAAATTTCCAGGGTTTGCAAGTAAAAAGAATCTTCTAATTCTCTAATTTAATGTAACAAATTCATAGTTTGGAATACCAAAGGGTTTCGACATCAGGTTGCAAAACTTTAAGGAGTAGCAAATTAGAGTTCTGATAGAGTTCTGTAATCTAATTTAATTTGGTATAAAAATAATGTGCTAAATGTTACCAAAGGAATTGAGTCTTTGTCACAAACTATGATTTTCTAATCTCTATATCTTTGCAACCCAATGCCGTAGACCTTAGATATTTCAATCTATGAATTCTGCTAGATGAAAGAATCTAAGTTTGAAATATCAAAGGTTTACTCCATCAGGTGGAAAAAATTAGGCATTAGAAAATCAGAGTTTGTTACAAAGACTCAATTCCTTTGCATGTTTATTGGGACAATAATATTTTTATCAAATTTATTTCTAACTAGCTGAAGGGCCCGGCGTTGCCCATGGGAAAAAAACTATTAAAAAAATTTGTCAAAAATAAATAAAAAAATTTTGAATTTTTTTTGCCTATAACACCTCCTGGCCTCCTTTGAGTGTCCACAAAAATTTCAGCCCAATCGGTCCAGCCGTTTTGCCGGCTATACGCAACATATATATATCCGAATGTCTTGTTTAATTATATAGATTACCTCAGTATACCAACAGTAAGGTATGCCATGGAGCTGATCAAAGTGGCCAAAATCTAAATTTAATTTGTCAAAATTTTTATAGAAAATTAACAAAATTCATGGTTCTTTCACTTTTCCTTGTATTTTAACCTTAAACTGGTAAACAAATGGGATATATTTGCATAAAATGGTTTATTTATAAAAAGTTTAAAACCTGACTTTAAGCATGTTTACAAGACTGCTTTCTTTCTACACGGCAGTTGCATCGGTAATATAATATCCGTGGTAAAAACTGCAAAAATATCATCGTTTTTGGACATTAGAACCCTAAAATCTTGGTTTTACAAACATACGGAATTAAATGTGCAATTTTCATATATAAACGGCAGACCTGCAGTACAGTTCCGAATGTAATTTTGTACATTATTTACAAATTGTATTTCTTTTTAAACTGTGTCACGTTACATTTTAAATCTAGTAGTTTTGTTCAAGACTAAAGTGTGACTAAATATTTATCAGGTCGTTATAACCACAAAAAAACTGTAGAGTGCAGACTTTATGTAGATCGAAGACTTTTGCTTTTATATAGTAGTCTGTAGACTGTAGACTGTAGACTGTAGTCTGTAAACTGTAGACTGTAGACTGTAGACTGTAGACTGTAGACTGTAGACTGTAGACTGTAGACTGTAGACTGTAGACTGTAGACTGTAGACTGTAGACTGTAGACTGTAGACTGTAGACAGTAGACAGTAGACGGTATACTGTAGACTGTAGACTGTAGACTGTAGACTGTAGACTGTAGATTGTAGATTGTAATCCTTAAAGGCATTCAAAAAACTTTAAATGTCAAAAGGTGTTAAATTTTACCTGTGGCCAGAGTTTCTTTAATTGTGAGAAGATATTGACAACCATCTTGATGATTTTTCAATTCCTCTTTTTACACTCTTTCTCAGCAACTTCGGTATAATCTATATAAAAGAGATGAAAGGGAATAAAAGAAAATTGGAAGGCCAATAAGGCTAAAGCATAAAAAATGCGAATGTTGGAAGAATAATAAGAAAAGTGAAATGGGGGGGGGGAGAAAGTATAAAAGATAAAGAAGGAGAAGGAGAGGTAACGAAGGAGAATATTAAAGAAAAATTGACAAGAAAGAAGGAGATAAAGGAAGGATAAAGAAGGAGAAGGAGAGGTAACGAAGGAGAATATTAAAGAAAAATTGACAAGAAAGAAGGAGATAAAGGAAGGATAAAGAAGGAGAAGGAGAGGTAACGAAGGAGAATATTAAAGAAAAATTGAAAAGAAAGAAGTTTAAAAGATAAAGAAGGAGAAGGATAGGTAACGAAGGAGAATATTGAAGAAAAATTGACAAGAAAGAAGTTTAAAAGATAAAGAAGGAGAAGGATAGGTAACGAAGAAGATTAATGGAAAAGGGACTAGAAGGATAGCTAATGAAGGAGATGAATGGAAAAGAGACTAGAAGGATAGCTAATGAAGGAGATGAATGGAAAAGAGACTAGAAGAATAGGTAACGAAGGAAATTAATGGAAAAGGGACTAGAAGGGTAGGTAACGAAGGAAATTAATGGAAAAGGGACTAGAAGGATAGCTAATGAATGAGATGAATGGGAAAGGGACTAGAAGAATAGGTAACGAAGGAAATTAATGGAAAAGGGACTATAAGGATAGCTAATGAAGGAAATGAATGGAATAGGGACTAGAAGAGTAGGTAACGAAGGAAATTAATGGAATAGGGACTAGAAGGATAGCTAATGAAGGAAATGAATGGAATAGGGACTAGAAGAAAAGGTAACGAAGGAAATTAATGTAAAAGGGACTAGAAGGATAGCCAATGAAGGAGATGAATGGAAAATGGACTAGAAGAATAGGTAACGAAGGAGATTAATGGAAAAGGGCCTAGAAGGATAGCTAATTAAGGAGATTAATGGAAAAGGGACTAGAAGAATAGGTACGAAGGAGATGAATGGAGAATGTGCTAGAATGAAAGGTAACGAAGGAGATGAATGGAAAAGGGACTAGGATAGGTACGATAGAGAAAAAATGGAGAATAAACTAGAATGAAAGGTTTCGAAGGAAATGAATGGAAAAGGGACTAGAGGGATAGGTACGAAGGAGATGAATGGAGAACGTACTAGAAGGAGAGGTAACGAAGGATATTAATGGAAAAGCGACTAGAAGGATGGATACGAAGGAGATTAATGGCGAATGAACTAGAATGAAAGGTTACGAAGGAGATTAATGGAGGAAAACGACTAGAAGGATAGATACGAAGGAGATGGATGGAGAATGAACTAGACTGAAAGGTAACGAAGGAGACGAATGGAAAAGGGACTAGGATAGGTACGAAGGAGATGGATGGAAAATGAACTAGAATGAAAGGAAACGAAGGAGATTAATGGAAAAGGGTCTAGAAGGATAGGTACGAAGGAGGTGAATGGAAAATGAACTAGAATGAAAAGTAACAAAGGAGATTAATGGAGGAAAACGAAAAAGGAGAATTAGGAAGGAACGAAAGATGAGGATGAAGTGAAAAGAAGGATAATGGAGAAGCAGAATAAAGAAGGATGAAGAAGGAAGGAGAAGGGTGGAGAAGGAATAAGTAGGAGGGATTGAGAAGGAATGAGTATGAAGAATGTGGGTAGAAGGAGAAGGATGGAGAAGGAAAGGTTACGAAGAATGAAGAGAAAATGAAGAAGGAGAACTAGGAAGGAATGAAAGGGATGAAACAGAAAGATGAATAATGAAGAATAATGGAGAAGGAACTATTCATATGAAAATATTGTAGCAGAATAAAAATGGACGGAGAAGAAAAGAGAAGGGTAGAGAAAGGAGAAGGAAGGAGAAGGAATGTGAAGGATGGAGAAGGAAAGAGAAGGAAGGAGAAGGTTGGAGCAGGAAAGTGAAGAATGAATGAGTAGGAAGGAGAAGGAATGAGTAGGAAAGAGAAGAATTGAGAAGGAAGATGAAGGAAGGAGAATGAAGGAGAAGGTTGGAGAAAGAAGGAAAAGAAAGGAGAGGTATTTTTTATGTATAATAATTGAGTAGGTGGTGGTTACCATAAATGTGTGTCTAAAGGTGTTTATTTTAAATGTCAACAGCGACAACATGTATTATTTTTCTTTTATCTTTATTTATCGTTATTTTATCTTTAACTGAAAACCTGGTATAAATATTAAATATGCATAAGGGTGTGTCAAATTGAAATAATAAAAAAAGACTGATTGTGCGCTTTTACAGAGAAAATACATTTTTTGGTCGGAAAACCCGAGGTCAGAAAACATTTAAGTTATTTGAAATTACCTGTCATAAAACTTAGATTCATTAGCGAAATTTTTAGATTAAATTTCTTTTTAAAAAAACGAGCATTGTTTGGTTTTTGAAAGTTCAAAACGAGTGGTTCGTTTTTAAAAACGATAGTTTTTTTCAAAAACGAAATGATCGTTTTTAAAAACAGTCCTAGCTGCATAACTGCTGTGTTTCATGTTTATTGGAGGATTTACAATCATAACTTAAGTCTAACATTAGTCTTCCTATTTAACAGTTTTATTAGTGCCACACAGTAGTATTTTTATCTTAATAATCTAGTTTATATATTTATGAATATGATTAACAACATCTAGACATTGACAACCACACCCTTCCTTCATATGCCAACCTTGTGTCTGGTTATACGCAGCATGCATAGATAGATAGATAGATAGATAGATAGATATACATTCTTAATCTCCCAACAAAAGATGCTGACATTCTTAATCTCCAAACAGAAGATGCGGACTCTCTAAATCTCCAAACAAATGATGCTGATATTCTTAATCTCCAAACAGAAGATGCTGACTTTCTTAATCTCAAAAAAAAGAAGCTGACATTCTTCATCTCCAAACAGAAGATGCTGACATTCTTAATCTCCAAAAAAAAGATGCTGACATTCTTAATCTTCAAACAGAAGGTGCTGACATTCTTAATCTCCAAACAGAAGGTGCTGACATTCTTAATCTCCAAACAGAAGATGCTGACATTCTTAATCTCCTAACAGAAGGTGCTGACATTCCTAATCTCCAAACAGAAGGTGCTGACATTCTTAATCTCCAAACAGAAGGTGCTGACATTCTTAATCTCCAAACAGAAGATGCTGACATTCTTAATCTCCTAACAGAAGGTGCTGACATTCCTAATCTCCAAACAGAAGGTGCTGCCATTCCTAATATCCAAACAGAAGGTGCTGACATTCCTAATCTCCAAACAGAAGGTGCTGATATTCTCAATCTCCAAACAGAAGGTGCTGACATTCCTAATCTACAAAAATGAATTCAAAAACAGAAATGCAGATATGGTTGATTTGGCGTGTCCGAGTCAAACATCTGCTTAGCGCCGGCGCTTAAAGCTACAGAAGGAGCCGTAGATAGATAAATAGATAGATAGATAGATAAACAAATAGATAGATAGATAGATAGATAGATAGATAAAAATGAAAGGTGCAGCAGAATAGTGGGTATAAGACAAGTACCGTTACATTTAACAAGAACTTACGAAACTTTAATATCTACAGGGTGTCTCACACATGTATGACATCAATATTTTTACAGGGTGTCCCACAACACATCAATACCTACACTCTACAGGGTGTCCCATATTACAAAAAAAAACCTACCGGTTGTCTCACATTACATCAATATCTACACTCTACAGGGTGTCCCACAACATAACAATATCTACACAGGATGTCCCATATTACAAAAATACCTACAGGGTGTCCCACAACACATCAACATCTAAACTCTACAGGATGTCCCATATTACAAAAATACCTGCAGGATGTCCCATATTACAAAAATACCTACAGGGTGTCCCACAACACATCAACATCTAAACTCTACAGGATGTCCCATATTACAAAAATACCTGCAGGATGTCCCATATTACAAAAATACCTACAGGGTGTCCCATATTACAAAAATACCAACAGGATGTACAACAACACATTAATATCTACAAGGTGTCCGACATTACAAAAATATCTACCTAACAAATCAATAAATACAGGGGGCCCAGAATAAATAAGTAAAAAGAATTTTTTTCTCCCTGTGCACGCCGAGCCAATGGCTTTGCGACCTAATGTCGTAAACCTTTGTATATTTCAAACTTAGACTATTTGATTAGCAGAATTGATAGTTTGAAATATAAAAGGTTTACGACATCGGGTTGCAAAGTTAAAGGGATTAGAAAATCAGAGTTAAAAACTCAGTTCCTTTTTATGATATATCTTGAAACAAAACATACTGCATCATTTTCCGTTGCTGGAGATTTTAAACAAACAATACAAACTGAGACTCTATTGAAGTTTCATTCATGATCTTACCAGTATATTCTGGATCCTGTACAAACCATAATTATAAATTAAGAAATATTCGGAACCTTTAAACAATAAACCAAACTCATGCTCGAGAGACAAAATTTGCGATTGTGAACTTATAAACAAAAGATTAAATAAGAAATATTTTACTAGTAACGTAGACAAGTCTTTATTTTTACAAATAAAAGCGCATTGGTCGAATTTACACGGATAAATTATATTTGCATTTCAAATATTGTTTTGGTTTTGAATTGTTTTCTTTAATGTTAAAAGTAAAAAAATAAAAAAGTGTTTAAAATAACTGAACTTCCTCAGTAATTGCACGTACGCTTTAATCTAAAGAATAAAATACCAAATTGAATTGTATATTTAAAGTTGTTTACAACCCACTGAAAGACTAGGACAAAGCATTCAAAGTTTAAGTCCTTATTACCTAAAATAAACTTGTAAACTAAACTGAAATGAAATGTATATTTGCAACACGAGATCTTGATTCAATTTTAATGCTTACATTTACTTGAACCGCATACAAAAAACAATTCTTATGAATCCACTTTAATCAGTTACTATCGAAAAATCCTAGTTTTGGGATTTTGAAAATGGTGTCTGCCAATTTTGGTGGTTACAAATTAACGGAGAAAAAATTGGTTCAGATTTGAATTTATTAAATAACATCAAAATTACCCCAACACATAATATTTTTGTTGATTTTAAAGATGCTTTTTGGAGAGACACATTTTGGATTAGCCTCTGGGCTCTGGCACCTACAAACCCATTTTAATAAATTCTTGGCAATCTATTAAGTATTGAAAATACTTCATGTTTAACTTGGGACACCCACCCTGTATAGCACTGTATATTTCTGCACATACGGACAAGAGATTGATTTGCATTGATTAACATTTTAACAGATCTTAGGTGTTGTTTCTGGGTCATGTGACCGCAAATAATAGCTAATTGTTGTTGGACTAGGTACGGTTAATTAAGCAACTTCTAATGCACTACTCTTTTTTCACAACTCAGTGTTGACAAGTTGTTGATTTGCAATATTTAGTTACTTAGATAAAACCAGTTTTTTTTATGAGGGTTCAGATTTAGAACAAATCCATGTTGATCTGTCAACAGTGCAAATAATCCTAACTTCAGTGTTAATTCCTTTTTATCTAAATTCTAAGTTCTGAACAACTTAACAGTTTTTACATGGTTCAAACTTATCCAGCTAGTTCTTAACACTTAATATACATTACTTCTCTAGCTCTCTTAACTGCAAGACAAAAACTCTTAAAGGTCCAACCTAAACCAGCCACCTGATATACAGATTTCTGGAAGAATTAAAAAAACTTAAACAGTTCTTTTGTAAAGTGACCCGACCACCCCCATCCCTTAATCAATTTTACAACTTTATGCACGGTTCATATTAAATCCTTTATCTGACTAACAACGAGGAAGAGATCCTCTTTATTTTACACTGTTGTTCCTCCTGATTAAAACTTAAAGTCACAATTTTACAGAAACCGCAATTGTCTATTTTAAGTTAATTAAACAAGAACAGTCCCTTTAATTAAAAGATGGAAGGAAGCGTTTACTAGAAAAATATGCAGAATGCAATCATCTATTTTCTAAGAATTCATTTCATTGATCCACCGAACTTAATGTTAAAGTGCATTAAAAAGTCATTCATCTTCAATATTGCTAATTAGCTCAATTCACAATTCACATCCTCTGAAACACTGAAACTACACAACAGTTTACTTCCTGTATGCCGAGTCCATTAGCGCCTAATCCAATCAGGGTTCAGTTATATGTTTGTTGTCTATTCTGAACCAATAGAAATACTATGGCGGTAACATCTATCTTTCTATCTATCTCATTATCCAATCAGAGTTATGAATCCGTCAATCTACGCTATCATTAAATGAAAATATTTACCTCTAATGAAACTATAGTGAGTTATATGCATTATGCAAGTTGGAATCAAGTAGTTAAGGCAATTAACGTTTATATTCAATCATGTTTGTTTGTTCTAACGGCTGAACCGTAAATTAAGGTTTATATTCAATCATGTTTGTTTGTTGTAACGGCTGAACCGTAAATTAAGTTTTACATTCAATCATGTTTGTTTGTTGTGACGGCTGAACCGTAAATTAAGGTTTATATTCAATCATGTTTGTTTTTTGTAACGGCTGAACCGTAAATTAAGGTTTATATTCAATCATGTTTGTTTGTTGTAACGGCTGAACCGTAAAGGTTGAATTTCTGCGACTTGCCTGGGATTTTTGAAATATGTCATTTCGCCTTTTTTTCTTGAGATTTTTTATTTTTGTAAAACTTATTCACTTGTTTCAGGGGCCCTAACATAATTTCAAATAACCTTCCATTTTTAAAAGTTACATAGTACCTACCCCAACCACAACCATGCCATTTAAAATGTCTTTTTTTGAATTTTCGAAAGAGATTAATTCTGTCAATTTCCGTCATTTTTTCTGCCGCCTAAATCCACCGGTCACTTTATAAAGAACCAGCAATTAAGATTTTCAATTCTTAGATGGAAGACACGGATATGTACTCCACTTTTTCTCAGGCATATATTTAAAGGGTATTGTTGTGAAGAACTGCAATTACATGAATTTTGAACACTTGTGTCAAAAATCTACATAAAAACAACACTTTTTACATTTGTCTAGCAAAAGGTCAACCTGCCATTTAAAATACATAAGCCGTGAGTGTTTGACCCTACCAATACAATACATTACCATAACATACCATTCCATACCATACCATTCCATACCATTCCATTCCTCCTTCGCTTCCTTTTTCCTTATTTGGAGGGGGGATTTAGTCGCTTAATAGGAAATGTAATATTATCCTTTCAAATAATAACAGTCAATCATTTAAACTTATTCTAATCCTTCCATTCTCATATTATCCCCATTCTTCCATACTCATCCCAACCCTTCCATACTTATCCCCACCCTTCCATACTCATCCCAACCCTTTCATACTTATTCCCATTCTTCCATACTCATCCCCACCCTTCAATATTCATCCCCATTCTTCCTTCCATACTCATTCCTACCCTTCCATACTCATCCCCACCCTTCAATATTCAAAACTCCCTTCCATGCTTCCCTTTCATTTAGTTCTACTAAACTCAATTAAACCATATGCATAAATTACTACTAAAGATATATTGCAAATAATAATTTTCTACAAATAAAGTTGTTAAAAAGGTTTTAGGCATAGACTTATTATGTGGCAATCCGTCTGTCTGTATCAGTTTATTATGCAGAATGCGTACTGAGTCTGTATACCCAAATGAAAGGTTAATACTATCGTAAATCTATGCGTATTGCATATTGTCTACATTGTGGTTTAAAAACAATGATATCTCTACAAAGGAACATGTAAAATGATTTCAAAGTATGCTTAAATCTTATATAAAGTAGTAATCTGAATCTAGACATATTTTGGTGGCAAGCAAAAGTATTATCTCTTATAGAGTGTATATGGAATTTTTTCCACACAAAAATTATAAAAATATATTTTATCGCGGTACAAGGTTCAAACCAACGGTACGCCCTGATTCCATGATATTCCACGGTAATTGATCCCAATATTTGAAGTTTTTAAAACTTTTTTTCAAAAATAAAAAACTTTTAAAAACAAATTTTTTTTAATTTTTATCATTCATAAACCTTCCCTGGGGTCACGCGAGATCCCACAGAAAAATTTCGGCCCGATCGGTTCAGCCGTTTTGACGTTTATTGGATACAAACAAACAGACAGATATGACAAATTTATATATCGATTAGCTAAAGCTGGCCAATAGGCTAAAATATTCAATTTTTTTGTTATTTAACCGATAACTTTTGAATTTTTATCTATAATTGAGAGCAGATATTATATTCTAGTATTGTCCCAACAAAATTAAGTACAAATACACGGCGATGATCTTTTATCTGTTTATTTGTAACTATTTATTTCTATTATTTTATTACTGTATTTGCAACTATCTTGGGAACCCAGTTCTGCTCGGAAACAGAACTTCGTCTTTAAAAGTCAATCAACTCAACTTAGAACTCTCAAACCGAGCTAAGAACATTCCCGTATTTCTAACGAGTTACCCAATCAAAATGTGAGGCAAATCAGCCAAATCATAGTAGATTATCTCAAAGCTTTAACGCCAAAATATTCACATAATACTCAAGAAACCTGGTATTTTCTGCAAGAAAATTTATCTATTTCAGCCATATGCATTTAAAAAATAATTCATTCTTTTTAAATATATTTTTTAGTCCCTTAAATTTCAATTTAGAGCTATATACGATCTAATATGATGTGGGCCACCCTGTATATTTAAGATATTACTCTGACATTTATTCTATCGTCTTTTAACCAGTCTTTTCAAAATCATCAAAGTTAATAAATATTTCTGAAAGCAGCGTTTTATGATTCTAAGATACTTTTATGATCCAAGTATTCTAAGATTAACTTGAAACTTACAAGTGATAATAATGGTTATTCTAAAATATGGGGGGATTAAAGTATCACTAGGCTTCAATGGGCGCTGTGTGTTAATTTTTAACTTTTAATTGTTGCTCTGTTATCGTTTTTTTTCGTGGATTTTTAAACGCTTTATCGGTCACAAAGACACAAATAGACAGACAGACAAGCAAAGTATATATAGAGGGGATTGAACAAATTTTTTCTTGGATTTTTTCTTTACCTCTGAACGCTTGCAGTCTAACAATAGAACCAAGACACTTTAATCCATTAACCTGAATATAAATATATTTAATACATTAACTTGAACATAGATATTTTTAATCCATTAACCTGAACATAAATATATTTAATCCATTAACCTGAACATAAATATATTTAATCCATTAACCTGAACATGAATATATTTAATCCATTAACCTGAACATAAATATTTGTAATCCATCAATAAAATTCAACATTTTTAAAAACTTTTAGATAGAGAAAGACATTTCGGATTGCAACCAATTGATAAATATTTGGGTTTTCATTGGTATTTGGTGCGAAAAGTATTTAGTTTCGCAATATATTCAAACATCTTATTTATTTTGCACTTAAAAGGAAATAAGCAAAAAATGTATTTAAAGTGGTTTAAAGTCGGTATGTGGTTCGTGATTACTAAGTAAAGAATCATAACGAATCTTTAAATTAAAAATCAGTTTAAATTAAAATAAGACGGTTGAGTCTACTTTGTGCTTATGAGACCACACAAAAGTGAGAAGATATAATGAAAAAGTATTAAAGGGAAAATTCTGTGTAAAGTAGATTTAATCAGATTAAAGACAAAATATGGGAGGGGGGGGGAGAAACAAAAATATGAGAAAAAAGTGAAAATGTTATTAAAGATGTTTAGGGTGGGTGGGTCTCTATGAAAACCATAGAAATGAAATGTGTATTGAGACGGGGGGTTGCTTATTGACGCGATAGACCATGAACAAAAAATTAAGTAAAAATTCTTTGTAAAATGGATAAGGGCAGATGAAAAACCACGAAAATACAAAAAAGACAGAAAAAGAAGAAACGTATAATAAGGTGTATAGGGTGGATACTAATGAATGATGTGACCTATGGTACTGTCTGGTTCTGTCTGTGCACCGTTGAGAACTGAAGAATAAGCTTGTGGGATGCTTTAAACAAAATTCAATCTTTACCGCTCATACACGGAATATTTAGTTACACAAACAGTTAGACACTAAAGCAGATCATAGAAGGGTGTAAACATCAGGAGAATTGAAAGCCCCTGAGGGCTCGGGGTTATTTAGGATTTCACATCTTTGACAATGTGTCACACCGATTATTACTTTTCAGGGCTAATCCAAGTTTAACCTCGCATTAGTGTAATCATTACTCATTTTTGTAGTTTTTACTTTTTTGGGGTTAATATACACGTTGACTGCTGGAACTATTTATGTTAAATCATTCAAGGTCGTTTTTAAACTTACATATTAATTCGTGCATACAGGGTTCTCCAAAGATATAAACCATGAGGTCGGATTTTCTAAATAAGTATAAGTAGTTCAACTCAGGGGTCAATATAGTTCCTTTTTCAATCCCATTTGGGATTGACAAATTTGAAAGAAATGGGGGCAAAGTCTTTTATTGGGGGCAAATTTTTTTTAAATGATAATTTAAAAAAAAAATTGGGGGCATAAGTATAAGTAGTTGAACTACGTATGTCTCGTTGAACAGCTTCTCTTTCAAACTAATTATACACCAGTGAAGTAGTTCAACCATCTGTGCCTAGCTCAATTACTTTTAATACTTTCGACTCTCGGATGCACTCTTTCATTCCATGATCTCAGTAGACTCATCTTTGATGGGTAACCCTTTATTTAAAGTCTGTCTATAACTCATAATTGCATAAATCAGGTTTCATGAGGTTGGAATAATGTAAATGATTTAAAGATTCAAGCGAAAAAATAGTAAAAACAGATTATATGAAAGTGCCAAAAGGTTCACCTTGAAACACTAAATTGAGAAGGGTTGAAACAGCAAAATCTCGTCAATAATTAAAGAATTAGATAGGCATAAGTAATAACGATTACTGAAAGACTATAAGTTTCAAGTCGGTCCATATGTTAAACAGATTAAAAAAATGGAAAAATAAACGGAAAGTTTTAAACGGATTCAACATTTTTACAATCGAGGAACAATTTCAATCCTAGAGAATACTTCATGTCTCAAATATATAAATCAAATTTATAAATCCAATATATATAAATCAAATATATAAATAAAATATATAAATCCAATATATAAATCAAATATATAAATCAAATATATAAACCAAATATATAAACCAAATATATAAAACAAATATATAAAACAAATATATAAATCAAATATATAAATCAAATATATAAATCAAATATATAAATCAAATATATAAATAAAAAATATAAATCAAATATATTAATCAAATATATAAATCAAATATATAAATTAAATATGTAAATGTTAGTAAGAATCTCAACGGCCATAAGTTGGTTTTAACATTTAAAAATCTTCCTTATTAGTGGAATATAAAAATGTATTTTAGAGGCCGAAGTGAAAACATTTGAACCTCGTAATCTAGACGCGGTTTAAATATGAGACGCGGTTAAAACACGATTGGTTCCACAGTGTTTCGAGATTTGAGCCGGGGCTCAATTAGAACCGGTAATTGGTTCAGCGACGCGGTTCAAATTCTTTAAATTCGGCCTCCTGATAAAGGAATTGAGTCTTTGCCACAAACTCTGAATTTATAATCCAAATATCTTCAGAACCCAATGTCGCAAATCTTTGATATTTCAAACTTACATTATTTGATCTAACAGAATTCATAGTTTGAAATATCTAAGGTCTACGACATTGGAATCCAAAGATATAGGGTTTAGAAAAGCAGAGTTTGTGGCAAAGACTCAATTTCTTTGGAGAATTTTTTAGGGATTAAGGTTATTTAAAAGATTTCTTTTAAATTCTAAATTCTAAAAGTTCCAAGAAATGACTTTTCCTCAAAATCCAAAATATCAATAAAATCTAAAAGTTTTCCCTCACCTTTTCCTTAAAGTTATCTGTAAAGAGTACCTTGCCCGGAAAAGGCCCAACTAGAACTGCAGAAATTAAAAACTTCGAAAACCTCTTTTTGTAGAATTTCTGTGACTTGATATCCAAGTGTATGATATTTGCTTATATCCTGTTTATTAACAACTAAAACCCAAGGCTAGATCTTTTTAATTTTATGTTTGATTGTCATAAATTATTTTAAAATGACAATGAAGGACAAATCCCTCAGCTTCTGCTGATTAAAGGGCAAGAATAATACAAGTATTTAAAGGGACCAGTGACCATCCATTTATAAACGGCAGGTCTGACTCACAACGATATCTTTAAAGAGAGTGTTCGCGAGAAATGAAAGGGAGTATAGGCTTACGTCGAAAAATAATCGATGGTGATTGCTATTAATCTTACTTCTATCTGTTGCGTCTATAACTATGTATGAATGCGTCGAAAAAAAAATCGATTTTTAAAGGTTGTAATATCTGAATGATTTGTTTGGAATTAAATTGATCTTTTTACGATCCGAGTCGATTATTGCAACTTTCTGAATTTGTATGGACGCTACGTTCTTCGGTATGGGTCGTTTCTAACAATTTTCTCCTTGAAGACACAACAGAATATATCAGGAAGTTATTGTCGTTTTTCTAAACATAAAAAGTTTCTTAAACTATTTTTTGTCTCTGCTGCAGCATAAATCCATCAGCCACTTGTCTAAAGTAACGATAATCGAAGAAAATTAATTTTTAGATGGAAAAATCAGGATATCTCAATTCATGCATCAGTCAAGGGTTATAAAGGTTCTGTTTTGAACTGGATAATCCTCTCTTTAAAATGAAGGCTCTCTCTTTTAAATTGTTCTACATTTCTACAAAGCTTAATTTACGTTATTCTACTTTTAAAGATTTTTGATCAACTTTAAACTTTTTAAATACGATTTAACACTTTGTTTGTCAATTTGTATGCTTTTCAAAGGAATTGACTCTTTGCAACAAACTCTGATTTTCTAATCCCAATATCTCTGATTCCAACGTCGTAAACCTTTGAAATTTCAAACTATGACTTTTGGTAAATCAAAAAATATAAGTTTGAAATATCAAAGGTTTACGACATTGGGTTCCAAAGATATTGGGATTAGAAAATCAGAGTTAGTGGCAAAGAGTCAATTACTTTTTCAAACTTTGGAAATATTTTTGCCCGTCAACGATAAATAATATAGAATGCTTCTAATACTCAGGTATAGAAGGCTACAAAAATGTTTGTAAGCCCGAAATACCTTAAATAAAAAGAATGATTTAATCCCTCCCAATTGTGAAAGTACTATTTCTTGTTTTTATTTAAGTTTTATTAACTGGTGAATTCTGGTATTTAATAATTTTGTGAAACAAGTCTGTTCACTTTTCATTATTATCTTTTCCTTTTGCAAAATGGGTTGCGAAACCAACGTCTAAAGGTTACAAAAAATTGGAAGCATTCAAACCTTTAAATATTCCTGGATGTTAAAAGTACAAATGTACAGGAATATAAAATTTGTAAATAAATATTGAATTCACAGATTTTTGATAAAAAATTAATATTCAAGAAAAGGTCCAAAAATGGAGTAAAAACCAGGAAAACAAAAGTTTGTAATGCTTTTATTTCCATAAATTTGGATAAACAGTATATGTTATGTTGCTTGTATCACGTGTATGTTATAGTTAGGCAATTTGAAGCTTTTTCTTCTAATTATCAAATTATTTCAGAAGTAGAAAATTTTGCTGTGTCATCAGTGTTACCCACTTCGATACCGGCTAAACCGAACTCTACCATCTGAAAGTTAGCGTTCTAGAGAAGGTTTGGGACCACGGAAGAAGTTTACTTAAAGAACCAGAATCTAAATACATTAGAGATTTTATGACTGAACTCAGAGGAATGAACAGAAAAAAAAAGTTTTTATTTAATTGTAAACTGTAATTCAGTATCTTTTTTAAAAAGGAGTTGTTTATGTCCAATTTTTAAAAGGTTTAAATATCCCTCCTTAAAAAAGCCGTCCCCCCTCCCCCCGATTTACGCAAAAGTTTGTTAATTAGTTCGACCCCCACCATCACTTTATAGTTATACACATACATCTAAACAGTTTGTTTTTAACCTTTGTAACAGAAACAATCTCAAAGAATAATAATTGTCTTAAAACATTTTTTTTAAAAGATGAATATTTGCAAATTATCTTTTTTTCCATGTCATAATCTGAGTTCGTTTCCCTTATGTCCATTTGACAGCCCAAATTTTTATTTTGAATAATCTTTTTTGTTTCTTTATTTTTCTTGTGACTTAAAATTTTTTTTTTACCGATTTTGATGGTTATTATATCGTTAGAACTGACGAGGGTCAACCCAGACCGAAATATATTTTCAATAAATGTGGAACTAACATCTACTTTTTTACTCTACAAAGGTTTGGTCCATCACCATTACCGAATTTTAAATAGATATCCTATGTTTAGCCGGATATCCAATAAAAAAGTGTCTTTCCCAGACTCCGAATAATTGTATTAAAGCAATATTAGTATTTTGGTTGGATTAAAATACTTTTTAATATGAAGATGAAAGATATCCTAGCTGCAGTTCTTGGTCTTCATCATATCCTAGCTAAAGTTTTTTGTCTTCATCATATCCTAGCTAAAGTTCTTCGTCTTCATCATATCCTAGCTAAAGTTCTTGGTCTTCATCATATCCTAGCTAAAGTTCTTGGTCTTCATCATATCCTAGCTAAAGTTCTTGGTCTTCATCATATCCTAGCTAAAGTTCTTCGCCTTCATCATATCATATCCTAGAATTAGATCGATCTTGGTCTCCATCATATCCTAGAATTAGATCTTGGTCTCTATCATATCCTAGAATTAGTTCTTGGTCTTCATCAAATCCTAAAGCTACTAAATCACGTAAAAATTCTCATCAGAAAGGAATTGAGTTTTTCCACAAACTGAAATTTTCTAATCCTTATATCTTTGAAACATGATGATGTAAACCTTAGAAATTTCAAACTTAAATATTTTATTCATAGTTTGAAATATCAAAGACTTACGATA